GCTCATCAGCGTTTTTGGCGTTTATGTTGTTTTAATCTCCTTCTTTTCAGGTTTCAGGTTTGCGGATGCACTTTCAAACCATCATTTGGTGTTCGGCTGGCTATCTATTGTAAAGCAACCTTCAAGTGCATGTCTATTGGCTGTCTATTGTAGAGTAGAGAGATTTTCGAATTGTCGCCTCGTGAAAGCGTCAGCTGTATCGTCCACCGGTCAATATCATGATTTGCGACGTTTAGACTGTGGAATATGTTTAAACTAAATCTTTGGAGTTTCAAGTGACCCAGAATCGCTTTGAAACGAGTTCAAGGGGAGAAGGCTTGGACTAGTAGAAAGAGCTTGATGAGACACTTTGATTGAGTATGAGTTTTTCAAGAAGTTTTTAATTTGTTCGATTAATAGGGTCAGTAGGAGACAAAATGAAGTTTTGGAGCCAAAAGGAGGTTTTGGATGTTTTTCGGCGGCGGCGGAGGTGGGGGGGGGGGGCGGGGAGGTTCGGGACAAGCTGTATATTGGCTGGTATTGAAAAAGCTTTATGGGCGACTATAGAGCTGGCCCCGTAATTTTTTCTTCCACTGACCGTATTCATCAACGAACCCAGTGGTTTCGGAATCCATTGGGTTCGCGAACCCAGTGGGTTCCGTGGGCTCGCGAACCCACTGGATAAGATCGGTATTTACAAGTGCCCCGCTGGGTTCGCCCAACCCATGACGTCACCAATGTGCCTCTAGTCGGTGTAAAATTTTCCTCATTTTCCCACGCAACGGATCGCGCTAAACTAAAAGCGTCAGCACGCTTGACACGCTTTCGAGAACTCTATGTTTGGATGAATGCCACCAATCAATGTCTTTTGTGCGACGAAACTTTCATTTCCTTATCCTTATCCTTCTTTATTTGAATATTCTCTCGGACCCAGACATGAATGTCGACTTGGAAAGAGATGCAAAAAAGAGCTCTATGTTTTTTTGTGCAAGTGATCTTTCTTGTAACATTGTCTCTTACTTCATAAGCAGAATATTAGCCATACCTTTGAAAAGTGCTCGACATAGCTGACATATAGAATCTACGTAATTTGAAACGATTGTCACGGTGCAAGGCGTAGATAAGTTTTTTCATTTTAGGGATGCTTTTGCTATACATAACACGTATATGTACGCCTTTCAAACGGAATCCTCACCATCAGTGACAAAGTGGCATTCGCAGTGAGCGCCGAAGTCGTTTTTGCTTGATTTGTGCCACATTCATTCACATTTCTCAGAATTTTCCCAGAATTTTTCATTTCTGACCATATTTTCGATTTGCGGCGTCGTCGTTGCTCTAAAGTTTTCATTTGTTTGTTCCTAAAGGTATGCTTTGTTGTTTTTGTTTCGCCTGTTGTCCACCCCAAGGTTTTTAATACGTCTTGAGCAAAAAATCGCTTGTTTCAATCCAACTTCCTCCCCGGTGCGGAAGTATATGTGTGGAAGTTGCAAAGTGAGGACTAAAAGTTACGGAAGACCAAAAGGACTAAAAAAAGGTGAGGACTAAAAAGATACCAAACCAAATTGACGAATTTGCACCATGCTTGGGTTCGCCAAGCCAACGCTCAATGGGTTCTGGAACCCACGAGAACTAGGTAACTGTTTCGTGAATACCGGTGTGCTTGACTTTTGGGTTCGCGAACCCACTGGGTTCGTTTGTGAATACCGGTTAACACGTTTCGGACCGGTGCTGCACATGGTGCAGCACGCTGCTTTGAAGGATCTTTTTGACGTTTGCAGGAGACTTTCTTTTAGTCCAAGGTTATCAAGTCAATGCCCTAAGCCCCTACTTTTCAAATGACTTTGTAGAGCTGTGGCGCCAATCTTTGTTCAAGAGATATAAGGACAAATCGAACAACAATTGCAAAAGTGCGGCAACGCGAACGACGCGTGCGACGTCGCAACTTTTCTTTGCTTCGATTTCAAAGAGAAAAACCTTAATTTCAACAATGATGTGTACCGTGTGCAACATAGATATTTCTAAATTTTATTAGAATCTGAGTTCTTGTTTCTATCTTTCAAAAAAGCACAGGAGTTTCTCCTAAGCAACAAAATTAGCTGCACGGCGCCAGCCGAAAATTACGAGAAGGGCCCTGGAAGAATGTTTTTTTTACATTTTTTCAAATGTTTTTGTCCTTGTTGTGCTATTTCGACGGGCGGGGGTTGCTCGGAGACGGGCTTGACCCCTGCTTTGGTTTTCCGGGGGCGGCCTCGCCAAATCGAGACTTGAGGCGGCCTCAAGGCCCGATAAAGGGCTCTCTGTCCGAAAAGAGACTTTCGGACTTATATTGTCATTGATGTGTTCGCAGTCTCGAATATAAACATGAAAAATGTGTTTTATGATTGCAACATAATCAAAAGTTCGAGGGCGGAAGGGAAATTGAGGGTATTCTCGTGTGGTGTTTCTATGTATAATTCAAGTGGTCATGGTTTTGTGTCTAGTGTGTAAGTGTGTGTGTGAGTGTCCGTGGTTGCGCGGTGGGCGGACGTTGCCACTTTTGATCATTCTTGGTTTTTCGTATTTTTTGTGTGGCAAGCTCCGCCCATATGTGTTTGTGTGTGCGGTGTGTGTGCGGTATGTGTGTGTCTGGTCTTACGGAGTTTTGTGTGGGCAGGGTTGTCAGTGAAGGGGACGGGGTTTCAAGAAAGAGGGCGGAGTTGGGCACAAGGGGGGATGGGATTGACGTGGCGGGGGTGCGATTATCCAACTTATCGGCCAACTCCTCAGTCTTTCTCATGGATGTAGGCCCTTCTGAACCCGCTCTAACCGCGATGGCTACGATAGGTCAGCGCGTCTCAGAGGTCACGCCTCAATTGGCTGCTTCGATAAGGCGAACAGTTGACCTGAGCATGTGCGCTGCAGAGATGGACGAGTTCCTCAGTGATGACCTCCCTCCCTCAGACCCTTGATAGAGATGACATAGACGCGTGATTTAACCGAATGCTGTATTCTGCCGTTTTACCTAATAAACTCGCTGCTATCCACTAAGTGACGTGCTTCCAATAACGGAAAAATTGTGGGATGTGTTTGCTTCAACTACTGGAGTATTCTATTTTTGCTTGGGTAGGGTGAGTGCTGGTAGCTCTTTTTGCTCAATGTGTGCAATCCTTGCTACATCGTGTATCGTCACATTCATTTGTGTGTGTGTGAACTAAACGAAGCTTGCAGGGAAAACACACTTTTGGCTTGATTATTGCTGATAACCCGAGACCCGAGATTCTTGTTAATGCAGTTTGTCGCCAACAGTTTTTCTACGCCCATTATAGCGGCTGCATATTTATACTCATGTAAACCACACAAATACTTACCAGGTATTGAACCTAGTTCTTAGCAAGGAAAATAGCGGATATTGCTGTTTCGTGAGCTTTAGAGAGCTGAAGTTCCAGAATCTAGCTCAGAAATTTGATCTACAAGCAGTGGCCTATGAACATTAAGATTCCATGCACAATCCCAAAAATTAGCGAGAAATGAGCAGCGTTTGAACTAGATGCTACCCAACGAATATCTTGGTATTGAGCGGAAGTCGTTTAGAGCAAACTATAAACTATTAGGTATCGTGCAGAAATCATGGAAAACCATCCGTTGTACTTTGAATTGTAGGTCTGGTCGCGTGTGCTTTCCTCTCGACGCATCATGCATTTCACAACTTCAAACGTGTGACAATGCATGAACCAGAAAGGATGCACACAAATGGCAGTATAAAAGTAATCAAAATGAGATGAGGAAATCATTTTCATATAAATAATCAAGAAATTCAAAACTACGTTTCTAGTAACAAACCTGATTGATACAGGATAAAGTTAGGCCGTAGAATAGCAAAATGGAGCAAATAGCAGCTTTAAGAAATGGGGCTGGAGGTGAGGATTACTACTGCGTTTAGATCTGAATGCTGTGACTTTCGAAAATAAAGCGTTCTGCAGAAGACTCGTCCGCAATGACCGCAGCGCAGGCGCTCGCGACCTACTTGCGAGGTTACTGTAGTAGACGGTGGGTTCAGAAGGGCCGTCTCCCTTTCTCGTGCACTTCGTGCATGAAAAAGGGACGGAGGGGGCGGTTTTGTCAAAGGGGCGTGGCCATTAACAAATTCGTCGTCACATCGGACTTCGTCGGGCCGTTTTCGGCTTGACGGAGCGTGTCGGTGCGAGGTCTGATGATCTTCTTGACGGGGCCGTCCAGCGCTGCAAGGACTCTTCTAAAGTGTCTACGGGGCTATCTGAATCCCTTTCCGTCTAAAAATTTCGGTTTATCTACCCAGCTGTTTGAAGAAAAAGTTGAGCGTTGTTACTTTCTATGTTTGTTGTTCTATACTATGAATAAATAGTATAATTTCAAAAGTGTTCGCCATTTACAAAATGATACGGGCGCATAACATTAAAGCAAGAGAGTTACTAACGATCGAAAAGTGCATACACTTTTCAGAACCTGGAACGTATGATACATTTGAATGAAATAAATAGAGAAAATCACTTGAAATAGGAAATAGGGAGTTTGGATCAAGGATTTGAGATAGAAACATTTTATGAAAAGTAGAAGCAAACATTGTCTAACGAAACTCAGAGGAAAAGTAATTGAGGCAAAGATTAGGTTGTCCGGATTATGAAATCATGAATTATGTGGATTGTGTTTACGTGAGCGAGTTAGAATTTTTGTAGGATTTTTATGAAGTGAGTTACGAATTTTCTTAATTTTTCAGGCAGTTGAATATTTTTAGTTTCTGGCTCGAAACTCGTGGTGGGTCAGAGCTGTTGCTAAAGCAAGACTGCCATCTTGTAGAGATTGCTTTGCTCTATCGAATGGTATATTGCAACATACTTAGAAATAAAAAATGTATGACTTATTGCGCTTGGAATTCAAAAGCTGCATTAACTTCCGGACAACCTAATACAATACCGCGACCCGCTCATGGTAAAACTAGCCTTCTGTTACCAGTCTTTACCCGATTTCAATCCCAGTGCACACAAAAGAAGTTTGAGTGGTATCACCTGTCAGAGAAGTGCAAACGGAGCTGAGCTGCGAAAGAGTATCGTCCAACCGGAGCACCTCTCGAACAAACATCTGCAATACGTTTTATGATTTTACAATGAGCAGTAATGTCAAGTGGAATGAAACATCAGTGAAACCTGCCTCTTCAATAGGATCTCTTAAATCAAGCATCCCTTCAATACTGAGCCTCCGCCGGGTCTCTTGTCGAAGCAGACGTTCACGTATAGACTTAGCAAAATTTGACTCGAGGTAATGGGAAACAGCCTGAAGCTAAGAACCCATTTGATTTGATTTCGATCATTTCGAGGGTATGATACGCCGGGCATAATACGCCGGTGGCAAATGTTCCTCTTAGGTCCACTTCAGTGTAAACGATGTCTTTACACACTCGGAGAAGTGATAAAAGTGCAATCTTCAGTTTCCTTTTGCCACCGGAAAATGAATGAGGAAGTCTTCCGCAGAACTCACCATTCCTCCATGGCCGTCAAAAATTCCAAATATGGATAGATTCATGTTCGGATCGTACATATAGTGCATCCTGTCCTCCATATATGGACGATAGCCTTGCGTAGCGCAGTACGAGAAAATTTTGTGTTTCATTTTCCAATACTGTTCTGAAAGGGTCACTCAAAGAGTTTAGTTCAGCTAGTTTCTGACGTTCTGAAGCAGCTCATTAGTGCACTTGCCTGATTTGAATATAATTTCTGGGTGAGTAAAGTGGTCTAGATGAGTTTCTGCTTCATTTCTCTGTCTTTTAGTTGAAAAAAAAAACCATAAAAAGTAGATTAAGATACATGTTGAAGCTTTATGACCAAAGCTAAATAAGAACGTATCATCACAGCGTTCTGAAAGCTACGCGCGAAAACCTATCAACTCGATGCTTTTCTAGGCAAATGAAACATTTATGAAAATACCAGAAGTAATAGTAAAATAAAGTCGCTGTAAGAAGACAATGCACTCAACTGAAAAAAAGTACCGTATTTAGTCAAATCGGAGAAGCCTCGATCGATGAACTCAGGGGGCTCGAACCTGAGATGATGGTTCAAATCCAAGAACCTGAGATTGAGTCCGCGAATTCGCGGCACTAATCTGGACACCACCCATCGAATATAGATATAGGCACAGACTAGAAATACCAGAATGTGAACGACTGCATTTCGCATGAGGATGAATCGCCGATGGCCGAGGCCGGCGATGCCGACGAGCGATGCGAGTGCAGAGATGAGTAAGGCGTGAAGCAGAGTCGGCATTCATCCACGATATCCGGACACACTAGTTGCAGCTGGCTGCACGATTAGACATGTGCTGCCAACAAACAAAATAGCACCGACACGACCCAAAAGTTCCGGCTGAGGCTGTTTTTTCCAACGATTGTTGACTATTCGCACGTTGTAATGCTCGATAATCGATATCTTCGAGCATTTTTTCAGCACGATTATCCCATCCATTGCGAATCGCAGCAGGTCCAGCAAGATGTACCGGGGAACAGCTGAGGCCACAACATTTTCTTGCAAAGCGCATTCTGGAAACTCCCAAAATGTTTTATTTCTGGCCATTAGTTCCGAGTTGAATACATCCACCTTCGAATAAACGACTAGAAAGTTATTCTATAATGACCACCCTAGCTAATACATTGGACAGTTGTGCCACTTTGGTGACGACTTTAAGATCTTATCAAAGCCGGATACAAGGCTCAACACCATGGCATGTAAAATCACATCATTTTCGAATGCTTCTCAGGAATGGCATCTGCTATAAGCCATTCTGAATGAAATGTCTTTTAGTTACGAGGCCTCAGGCTTGATCATCCATCTTGTATAACTGCTAAATGATTTATTAACCCATTGACGACGAGGTCTAATTTTGCATGGCACCTCTGTGAGACAACACGATTTTGCATGACACTTTCGTTGTGGGAAGGTTTTCTGGTTATTTACGTAATAGATTGTTTTGCAAATGACTGTGAATATTTTCTTGGACGATGGAGCCTATAGGTCCCAAGCAGGGTCAAGCGTGTTGATGCGATCCGGGACCCTCATTTACGACCCCCCCCCCCCTTGGAGGTAGCCATCCGTACGACCCCCCCCCCCCTTCCCCTCTACCCCCATCCCCCCCTCCCCACCCTCACCCATTTATCCCCCTTACCTCCCCTGCCCACATTCCTCGCGGTAACCTGCATAAACGAATGTCAGTCTCAAAAAACACCTGCGTGAGAACTTCAGTGAGGTTTCGGAAGCAGAATTTCTAGGCCATTGGGTGCGTCCATCATCTGTAGCACACATACACACCTTTAATAATGTTTGAGATTCTGCAAGTTTTTTTTTTGAATTTTCAGGCATACTTCAGGCCAGCAAATTCCATTCCCGTAGGCGACACAAATTTTTGCACGGAGAAAAAATGACATTCTTGAACCACAAAAGATGTTTTCGACTAAGAAGCTTACTTCCTACTTCTTCCACAGTTTTCCCCGCGAAAAAAACCGCTTGAGCGCCGTCCAGAACGACGTCAAAAACGTGCATGAGCACGGTAATTTGAAAATTCGTAACTAAGGCCAGGAAAAGACTGAGAGGCTGCAAAGCATAGGTTCTGTAGAATAGTGCCCAGACTATCCAGAGAAAAAGTTTCAGCCCTTGAGGAGCAATAAGCTCGAAAAAATTTAGATGCGACTCTCGCAAATTTAGATGCGATCCTAAAAAGCAAGAACTGGGATTTTTGAGCTTAAAATTTTGTAACTTACCAGAGAAGTTATAAAACAGCCTGCAATTTTTATGAGGGAAAGTAGGAGGATGGCCTCATATTACAGCAGAATTGCAGCCAACAAGCTTCAATAGCTCCGAAGAAATTTAGATGCGACCCAGATACGACCCCCCTTTCCTTACTTTTTGCAACCATACATAAAATTATAAGAAAATCTACAGTTGACAAAATAACACCAAATTATGCATTGATATAGCGGAGCATCTCAAAAGTGCAGATAAATCATGTGAGCCCGTGAAAAACATTACAAAAAGATCTAGAATTTTATGATGGTCACAGCTGGTAAAGACATTCGCTTTTGTCGAGTGTGTGAGACTTCAAGAAGGCTTCAGAAGCGAGATTTCTAGGGCAATCGGTACATTTAGCATATTTATCAAATAATACATCCTTCAAAAGTGTTTTGAGCTCTTGTTAATGTTTTTTTTTTGAGAATTTCTACAGATTTTTTATCTTTTTTATTCAGATTTCCACTTTTTTATAGATTTATTGTAAAGAACTTAACTAATTATTTGCTTTTTGATTCCCTTTTAAGCCTAGGGTATTTTGGCCTAACTGCCTTCTCTTACGACCCCCCCCCCACCTTAGGTACCCTCCTTACGACCCCCCGTTGCGACAGTCGCATCACAAGCTTGACCCTGGTCCCAAGAGTGTAAAAAATTGGATAAATATTGATATGTGGAAAAAATACTATATAGACGTACAAATAACAGACTTCGCAAGAGGTGTGCGCCATCGGTGGTCCACGTCGTCCATGGCAGCCAAAAGTGCATGGGCCACCGGTGGCCCACATCGTCGTCATGGGTTAAGCAAAGTTAAAGGTATTTTTCTGTTTTCAGAGTGCATGGTCAACTTCTACCTTAATGACCTCTATGATAAACGCGATATCGTTTCAAAATTACAATCATTTCGGAAAATACAATAACTCTTCAATAAAGGTAGGGATTGGGTTGAGGATCCACTCGATCACCTCACTCTTGTAACAGGGAACCAAAAAATGCCAAGTGATCGCCAACAAACGCATGTATTTTTGTCCACTGCATACCGTTTAGCAAAAAGCGGCCATTATGCAAAATTTTATTGGAAAAGGCAACATCGCCTTTCCTTGAGCCACCTAGGATAGGGCCTCAACAAAACATTTTTCCAATGCAGTGACTTCATCCACCTAGCTTTTTTGTATATGCTTTCATATCTTTTATTGGGGGGGGGGGGAGGTAAGAAGAAAAGGCGCCACAAAAATTCCAAATGGAAGGACACGGTTCAGTCCCCAAAGACGTCTTTTGGCCTGCTAATAAAAAAAATTTTTGCAAAGCTAATGAATTCTTGGAAAACTTTAAAATTGCCTCAAATGTCTACAAGTAGAAACAAGTCATTGCATAATCACTCTTGACTCATTTGGAGGGTGTCCAAAAATTTCTCAAGCATTCTCGGAGATTGGGCGGGGGGGAAAGAGGGAAGGAGCGCAATTTTATAAAACCCCTCCGCTCACTGCTTTATTCAAGTACATTAGATGTACCATTTCGGTACGATGCTAATAAGCTGGCACATGCAGCACTCCTTTGTGCTCCGTTTCCAATTCGTACATTACAAAACAGTGCATTCTGATGAGAGCGTCTTAGTGAATCTGTTGAAAACAGTGGCATACGGATATAAGTTCATAGCTTTCACCGAGATCGAACACTGATCGGCGAACGACTTAAACATCATTCAGGTTATCCCCTTCTGACAACTACATTTTCTCTCCGGTCTATGCAGCCTTTGCGATGTTATCGCTATGAATCTCTGAGCAGTGGGTATGACAGTGACTCCGAATTTCCTCTCATCTCCGAGCACTTCGAAAAAGCGTTGGTAATTTTATGTAATGTAAGCTTTTGGCTATTTTCCATTATAAATTACCTGGATCAAGTTATTGAAGTCTACAATATATTTATTTGAGAAAAACCCTGGTTTTTTTGAGCACTTATAGCATGAAGGGGTACCAAAACTTCCAAAAAGCTGATTATTCGAAGCAGAGTAAACGTGACTATTTTGCACAATTGAGGTTTAGTGACAATCAAGCTTTAACTCGCAGAAACCTTAGAAGCTTTCTCTTCGTTGGAGTTTTGCATTTCATGACTTTACCAAATATCGACATCTCCGAAGAAATGATTTTGTAGAGCTCTAAACAACAGTACGAAAAATTTTAGAGGAAATATCGTATGGTTCGAGATTTGTTTTTGAACCATATTTAGAGTTCGAAAGTCTGGAATAAAATTTTTGGATATTAGCCGAACTTTGCACAGAGAAATGACGGGTGATTGGCAAATTAAGCAACATCAGAAAATTATGGCTCATAATGCAACCATTAGAAAGGGGAGAGAAAGCTACATCAAATGCATGTTTAATTCGTTTGGATCTATATTAGGTGTCTTATAATCGTTCGAAAAAGTGAACAATATATTCGCGGCAACCTAATACATTTTACCCAAAACACAAGCCAGACAATTACAAAACATAGCACTGATTTGCGGAAGGTGTCTTATTAGCTGGCTATCAAAGAAACAGAGACTTCAAATAAGAATTCTGAAAATCAAGTTAGACATAATGAAAATGGTGTCGTAAGCTTTGACGATTACCTCTGCGTTCGTCACAAGGGTCGCATCGCCATATGGCTGCTGGTAAGAGGAGTTCTACATCGGATACATTTTGAAGCTTGTTTACCTCTACTAGAGGCTATCCGTGGGTTCTTACAAAAACTGGCGAACCTTTCGCACCGACCTAGATTGTTGCCTTCCAGATATCTGAAACTTCTAAAAAAACACTGCAAAATCTGCTGTACGTACAGGGTGTCCCAAAATAATGTGCACACTGTTTGATTTTGAATAACTCTCTTATTATGAGGTTTTTCGAGAAGCGGTAAGCGTCATTTTGTAGAGCTGGCTTCAACTTAGATTTATAGTATAAAGGAATCGTCCATCCTTTTTCGTTACTGTAGGATTACGGTAGAAACTTGAAAGAGGGTTTTGGGCCATAAAAGGCCATATTTTGCCTCAGAAAGGATTCAACACAGCCTGAGAACTTTTACACTAGGCCAATTAGAATTGCTGATTCTAACTGTAAAGTTCCCAACTTATTATGATGCTTCACTGAAGAGTTATGCGAGGTAAGCAGTAGCGGCCATTTTCTCAATGTTCCTAAAAAGTGCGGTTACACCGTTTAGAAAGCTTCGCAATCTTGAGAATAGTTGAGTATTGAACTCAGCGTCCCTAAAAACCCTATTACACAAGTTTTCACATCTTTTTGAAATTTTTTGAAATGGCAGCTTTTTCACAGTGACACCATACGTTCCAAGTTTCTACCGTAATCCTACAGTAATGAAGAGAGGTCGGTGATTCGCTCTATACTGGAAATCTAAGTTGAAGCCAGCTCTACAAAATGACGTTTACCGCTTCTCGAAAGACCTCAGAATAAGAGAGTTATTCAAAATCAAACAGTGTGCACATTATTTTGGGACACCCTGTATACAAACAATGTTATAGTTTATGAAGAGACTGCTCAATAGAGCTCAAAGATTTCGAGAATTTTGTTCTGTAAGCTCGCAAATGGATCCCGTCCTTGATTTCTCGTCGAAATCGACATTCGGGGTTTAAGAGGGTTCTCTGTGATGATGGTGGACGGATAATCCAGAGATTGGCAGAAGGACGATGGTGATTCCGCCATAGAGTCGATGCCTTTCGAAATCAGATTAGAGCAAATAAAAACACTGTGAATACTTATGTTAGATAAGC